AATTTATAATTACTAATTAATTCTAATAGATTAAGTCCATTCTCTTAAAAGGTGAAACTTTACTTGTTACATATAAATTTTATAATTCGTAAGTATGATATAAATTAATTGAGATAAAAGTTTGAATATCTATATTAATATTAAAAAAACAAGGTTATGATAAAGATTTTTCTTAATCTAATCAAATATGCAATCAAAAACCTAGATTAATTCGGATTAAGCAAGGTATCCATATGCCTTGTTTAAGATATCAATGAATCTCTTATTAGTTTACCAATTCAAAAAATTATGGATAGTAATACGTGCATAAATTTTAATTATAGTTCATATATGTATCACATAAATTAAAAAATGTTTGAGAATTTTCTTAGTTTCACTTTTGGATTTAATGAAATAGTTAGATCATAATAACCCAAAAGAGTAGCTGAGGTTAGTATCTAATAACTGCAAACACTAGATCATCTAATTAAGATCAAGGTAAAAAAATTCGAATTCCTGCAAATATGTCGTTGGATTAATTTAGAGTTTTCTAATATGAGTGTGGGTCTAGTAGGACCCCAAAGGAGGAAGAAGAATTAGCAGCAGCCAAGAGAAAGCTACCTTGCAAGTGGGCAGACAATAGGTAGAAAAACACGCTTCTTCAATTGAACATTTCTCCTGACTCAATAAAAGCTGGCGCTAGTACCTTGGAATTCAAGTTGATTTTCATGCCCAAAAATCATCATGAAATTACTTTAACATATCTAGAAGCCATCCATTTCATACTTCATTATGGGATCACAATTTGGCTCTGCCGCCCATGTTTATTGGCATATTTTCCAAAGTTAAGATTATATATATATTGGATAGTGAGTTATATAATAAATTATATATATTTTTTTAAACTCATCTTTACTCATTTCAAATTTTAAATTTAAGATATGTAATATGAAAATTATAAATTTTAATTATTGAGACATCTTTCAAAACTTTTTCAAAGTTAAGAGAACAAAATATGAAGGTTGCTTTTGGAGAAATAAGAAAAAAGAAAGAAATGAACTACTCCTTATTCCTTAATCAGCTGAAGCATTATTATTTCCAATGTAGGACCAAATTGATTCTTTTTCAACAAAATCTGCATTATTTTTGGATAATTTAGGACACATATAATCTCCAAAACATGCAATAATGGGACAAGAATGAATTATTAAAATCTAGTTTGTATTATAGTAAAGTCCAACATAAATAATTCAAAATCCAAATGTATTAGCATATTCCAATGGTAACATACCAACATTTCAATTGCAAT